CCCCCCCCCAACCCTTTTATGCTATACATTGCAACTTCCATTAACACAAGATCTGCTGAACACGAAAAAATTATCCGATCCCATGAACTTCATATTATTAGGGTGTTACTGTAGTTACCCTCATCCTCTTCAGGGGAGATCGAAACACGACAAAGTAGGGGAGTTAGGGGATAGCTGGGTCTGGGTGAAGTACGCTGTGACTTTATGTCACTGAGGCGTTATACTAGCCATGATGGCAGACCCAGGTCACCCTGAAACGTTGCTGGCTGAAGGGGCTCTGGTGAAACCGTGACTGGCCTAGCAAGCCGATGGCAGATAAATCATGCTCCGAGAAAAACAAACGGAAATACACTGACTGATCAAAACGGAAAAATAGAAAACTGCATCTCCCTTCAATCCTTAACGGAAACGGAGGATGAAAAAGTAAAAAATAAAAGTAAGTAAGTACCCAGGCATGCCAAAAACACCCAGGTAGAGAGAGGGTGAGACATCTCCCAGCTCCTGTAGGTTGTAGACAGTTTTGGGTGGTGTGAACGGATGAATGAAGTATCGATTCTTCTCCGTGGGGTCAAGAACGGTCTTGTCCCTGCAGCCTACTTGGGCCAGGAGAAGTTTCCCCACAGGGTAGTCACTGTGTCTGCTCTCTACCACTCTGATGGGAATAGAATTGAGTCATGCTTCACACATCATAAGTAGTATCTTCACAACAGTTGGAGAGATAAGAGAAGAGATAAGGTAAGCAAAACTGCCAACTTTTCAAACCAATAAAAACAGACCTTTCTCTCATGGTGGGTGAAGAGGATAAGGATTGGTCAGTTGTGACTCTTCCAGTAGCATGCTCTATAACATTACATCAGCCGGCAGTTGACATGTTCTAAGCCCAACATTCTGAAATTTGTTTTTATGGCAATTTCTTTCTGCTTGGGTCCTGTATCCCACCCAGACTAGGCTGGCTCTGACAAACAGGGTCAAAGCAGTCTATCTCCTAAATGTTTTTTAGTAAGAGTTTTACGGCACTTGCTACACAATAAGGTCATATAAGTGCCAAAGATTAGAAGTGTTACAAGAGAGTAACGAACAGAAAAAAGGAGGAGAGATAAGGACGACAGATGTTTGATAGGAAAGAAGAAGCAAACCACACCAGAGCACCCGCCAACTACCCACATTTCCTAAATGACCATAACTATGTTGATATGGGTGTACAACATTGAGAATCATTTTTCATAAATTACATTGACTCACTAAACAATTTTCATACAACATACAACTTAACATACGCATCTCACCTTGCTACTTGCTGTCCTACTGGTGTCTGTCCCACCTCAACTGGGAACACCCTGCACAAAGAAAAAAGTGTTCAATTTTTTAAGTTTTAGTTTTTAGTTTTAGTAAGAGTTTTACGGCACTTGCAACACAATAAGGTCATATAAGTGCCGAAGATTAGAGGTGTTACAAGAGAGTAACGTACAAAAAAAGGAGGAGAGATAAGGACGATAGATGTTTGATAGGAAAGAAGGGGCAAATCATACCAGAGCACCCGCCAACCACCCACTTCTTTAGTTTTAGTTACGCTTTCACAGCATTTGCAACACAAATAGGCCATACAATTACTGAAGATTAGAGGTATAGTGAGAGATAGAGAGTAACATACAAAGAAAAGAAGGAGAGATAAGGAGGAGGGATAAGGATGATAGATGTTTGATGAGAATGAAAGAGTAAAACACACTAGAACACCCCCCCCCCCCAACCACCCACCAATGTAGAAAGAAAAATACAATATAAAAAAAAAACCAAACAACATACTAACAGGTGAAATACTCCATATTGATAATAGTTCATCCATCACGAACTGATGAAGACCTTTAACATCCAAGGAGAAAAAGAAAGTAGCTACGGCAGGTAGTTAGCATGGTAAAAAGAGTACAGTAAGGGAAATAACAACAAGCAACTTGTAATAACTTTTTTTAAATGCCATAACTCACTGAGATACAAACACTCAATACAGTTTTATCAAAAATACAGGTACAGACAGGATAAAAGGGCAGAAAAAAGGCTCCAGCGTCTAACATGTCTCAGTTTTCTACCTCATTTTAAGGTATTTTGTTTATCTATCTTAACACTTTGCCATCATAATTCGGGGAAAATCCAAAGAAACTGGGAGGTAAACATCACCAATCAGCGAGATGAGACGGCAAAGTGTTAATATTCCAAATTTTTGTGATTTGATGAAAATACTCCCTGTATGCGAATCAGAGGGTATATATGGGGAGCACAAAGAGTTGTCTTAGGTAAAAGTTATAGCGACACAACAGTCAAACATGAAAAAAGGTAATACTTAGTTGTTCTTTTTTAAAAACACAGGAGGCTCCACTGACCGAGTGGTTAGTCAAGTATATGTTGGTGGCACAATGTTTAGGTGAGTGGTCATTGCAGTGTGCCCTTGAGCAAGATACAAAAGCCTTAGCTCAAAAACATGGTGCTATACAGTGGTAACCAGTTAAGGAATGCTGGTTGTCCGTATTAGCAGGATAAAAAGTGTAAGGTAACTTTAAGTTATTATGTGTATTTATCATGTACGCATATTTGTATTCCATTGAAAACCAAATTTTTCCATGGGGTCTATAAAAGTGGAATTCTATTTTGATTTCATCTTTTTACTTATAACCTTCAGAAGCATTTCCTTCCTCATACATGTCTCTTGAATGAAAGGCATGAAAATCTAATTAAAGCTTAAGCCTGTGAGACTTACCTCTGGTAGGGGTCCACTGTCAAATACAAAGCTTCAATGGAAATTTCTGAGGAAGTTAAAGTCATTCTGTAAACATACTGTAAATTAAGAAACAAATGAGTCAACAAGATAATATTTTCTCATTATATTTCAACTCTCCACAAGTCAGGTAAATCTTTAAAGCTATGTTGTTGTCTGTGTTTATTATCAGCGTTTTGGTGGTTAGGCTATTAGAGCCACAATCATGAGATTGCGGGTTCATGGGTTCGAGGCTTAGCTCAGTCCGACTTTGTGTCCGTGGAAAAGGTATATTACACGACTTTTCCTATATCAATTTGACTCAGTTCTTTCAGAGACGACTTTAAATTTGGAGGTCCTGCTTCTTAAATAAACTTAAGGTGCTGCAAGGAGCATTAAAAACTTATGTAATTTTTCGCATTTCTTCACATTAGCAAACACAAGAAGGTGATTGATTGAACTGATTAGAAATTTTTACACCTTCATAAACACAATTTAGAACAAGCAGTGGGATGAGTGGGATATTCTGACCTGGCACATCAGGACCAACAAGAGTTGCTCAGGATACAGCATGAAAAAACTTCCCCACAAGGGAATCAAACTCGGATCCTCTGTGTACAACACTGGAGAGCCTAATCATTACACCAGTCTAACCACTTGCATTCATGAGGTCCATGATCGCCTACGCCAGGCGGCAAAGCACTGGATGATGATGATTCATGAGCTTTGTATTCAAATTGACATACATATTTAAACTTAAATATTTTTATCTACCTCTACCATGAGAGGAAAAAAAATGTTGGAATACAACATGCTTTTTCATGAAAAAGAATGCTAAGGGATACCTCCATCTCTAATCTCATCCATCTTTAATATACCTTCATCTATCACATGCCCCCATCTGAAGCATACTCTCATATTTAGCCAACCCTATTTTAACACTTTGCTCCCACGGGACGCGGCGACGGTAAGAAGCCGTCCCTTTTCCCCATGAGAAGGTGATCGGCGACGGTGTGATATAGCGTGTCCCGCATCTGTATCCTGGTCCGTGGGGTAAGTGTTGCGCACTGTATGGGTGGAAAGTGTTAAAGTGCTGGCAGTCTTTAACATATAACATATCATATATACATTATAACCCTTCATTTAGTATACCTCCACCTTCAACATACCACCATCTTTAAGGTATTCCAATCTTTAGCATAACCCTGTCTTTAATGTCATACATCTATAAAAATAAGCCCATCTTAAAATTTAGTCATGTTTAATACACCCCAATCTTTAACTTGCACAAGTCTTTAACATACCCAATTCTTTATCACACCTCCAGCTTAAACATACATTAAGACACCCCCATGTTTAACACGTCTTAAAAATACCCCACCTTATTTAATACCCCATTGTTAACATACCCCCATCTTTAACTGGCGGCAGTTCCTCCTCCACCAGCTTGAAGTTGTCATGGACAATGTCCCCTTCAAAGGGCTTTGCCAGCACCCAAACACGAGCCTTGTTAGCCATCATCAAACCTGCTTGGTAGGAAATTTATTGGTCAACTATTACAAATAAGTGCAAGATATGCTGCAGGTGGTAGCTAGTACTTTTGTTTATTTAAGGTTATTTAGTGCAGAGGAAATGAAAAAAAAAAAAGACAGTTATATATGACTCCCGCGGAAAAAATTAGGTAACACAGATGCCCTTCAACTATCCACAATTAGTAAATTAGTACCTGTAAAGAAATATATCCACATAAACTTGACAAGAAAATTTGTTAAATTATTGTTGTTGTTTTAAATTATTACAAAGGGCTTTTAGTCAACTGCCAATGGACAACTCATGGTGTAAAGTAAAGTGAGAGACGGAAGGGAAAGTAAAAGAATACCAGAACTTTTCTCATTTTTCAAACCATGTAAACAATAATAGTCAGAGAATAATATGATGGAAATGTATGTATTTAACAATATAAATCAAAGGACAAAAATGATCGAAGCAGGGTTGGGTTGATTTAAATCAGGTTGATTTAAATCAGTTGATTTTTTTTATTTAAATCAACTTGATTTTTTAAATAAAAATCAGTGA